TTCGAATAAAATAATTATATTTTAGACATAAACAATCTTTAATTTACTTGAAGGGCCTATGATATAAATCCCTTCCAAATCTCAAATATTTAAATATTTCCTAAGATTGTATCAAATTTGTGTTTAACAACCAATAAAAAAAACTTAATTGATAGTCCTGAACAGGCAATGCTGATTTTTCCCCTCTTTTATATGTTATACTTATATCCATCAGATCACTTCACTTGTAGAACATAAACTGGCTTGGGGAAACTCTTGAGATGTTCCTTTATATTGCCATACATTCCTCCACAGCCAACACCATTTGCACAGCAGCAAGATCACAGTCCAAAACAGATCATGAAAACCAGCTCTTGAACAAAAAGAAGACCATAGGGAAGGGGCAACTGTTCAACAGCTTTTGGAGAGAAACTAAAACATCACCACCATATGGTCTATTTAATCCAGAAGTTCTCCTTTTCTTTCCTTTAAATTTATGGCAAATACCTTATATTTGGCAAAAATGTTACAGAGAAGTAAAAACAAATCCTTACTTTTGCTAACTGCTTACAAAACTACATCCCATAATTTTTACAAGTACACTGTAAAAGAATAAGCATTGAGGATAAACAAGGAAGATAAAATTCTGATATAAGCAGGCAGCATGTCTTCAGAAATCCTGCATCCTTACAACAAATAAGGCATTGCTATTGGGACTATTTGATCAATCTAAGATTACAGAACAAAAGAATGCAATATTTAGTCTAACAGGGTGTTCCCAGATCGTCGATTAAATGCTGCAGACCAGGCTTACGAAATTAATTATCAAGTACAGAGAATTTTGTTGTTGAAGAATAACTCATTTAACCAACCTGTCAGGCCCAATACTCATCTTAACCCACATGCCCATCACAAGTATTCTGTTAAACACAAACTGTCTTTTAAGTCATCTTGTTGAGAATTTGCCGCAAGAGACTTGCCAATCAATAAATATAGACTGGAGAATAATGAAATCCAGATGCAACAAAAGACCAGAACAATATTACCTTGAAAAACCCTTCCGTCATTTTCCCCCTTCAGATTCAACAGGCAATTTCTCATTGTTATTGCTTTCTAAGCTGCTTTCCATTTCAATTAACTTTCGTTCTTCTTCCTCAGTCTCTCGTGCTTTTGCTTGATTCACATCCTTAGGCTTGTTGCTTGTAGATTGCTGATACATGACACCACCTACCATACATATCAACAGGCCCAATGTACCAACAAAGGTTGAATGCTTGTCCCAAATAACCAGATTAATCACAACAGTTAATAGCTTGTTCACTATACCAAGAACAGTAAATCCAGTTGCAGAAATTGCCCTTCGGCAAGAAAACCCAAAGAAAGAGATGGATAAACCAAATAAACACGATAACCCCACCGGCAAAACCACCTCAAGAGAATACCAATCGGATTCATCCGAGATTTCATGCTTAATCTTCTTCAATTCTCCCATTACAAGTAGTTCTAATGGAAACAGTAGAAGAGCCTCGAGATTGTTATACAGTACAAGACCCCATGTATTTAAACCAATGGTCATTACCACATGCTTTATGTAGACAAAGTCTATGGACATGCTTACCAAGTAAGCTAGAGCCCAACTATAAGCCGTTACTGTGAACTTGTAATCTGTTAGAACATAGATCACACTTCCTCCAAAAATAGTGACAAGTGAGGTCCATGTCCTAATTGATGGCCATGGTTGGTGCAAGAAGATTGTCTCTCCTATTGCAACAAAGATCGGAACAACTGAACGAAAGACGATGAAAGTGTCAACATTAGCATGGAGAAGCAGCTCACTATTGGTGAAGAGAGAGAGGTAGAATATAATTGCTGCTGGTAGGAAGCGCCACATAGTAAGTAGGTCAAGCGAATCATACTCTATCAACTTAAGCCAGCCACAAACGAGGACACCAATAGCACTTGTCATATACTGCAAAGCAGTTAGTGCCCCAGGATAAGGAAATTTCATGACAGCCCATTTGTTGATGATGGAAAGCAATGAGGCAGATAAGCAATAACCAGCGGCAATACCATAGACTGAGATTTGCTGGAGAAAGACGCCATACCAGTTTGATTGGGTATTACTGATGAGAGTAGGGGCACTAGAACCACCCTGGGCCTGAGGGCCCTGACCAACTTCAGGATTCTCCGCACCATTATTAGGCATCTATCATAGGATCAAAATTTTGTTAGTGCACCAAAAAAATCAGGATAGGGAAAATGAACCTGGCTGCCAGGGCCACAGGGTGCATAGACTTCCTGGAAAATTATTTGCAAAATTTGGAAACAAATGCTTAAAAGAAAACTCAGGCAAGAATAGCAACACCTTTTTCATGGGCACTTCAGCTTCATCCATCTTCCCAGCTTCACCAAGGGCCTCCACTTATTCAAGCAACTTCTTTAACTTTTCCTCCACAACAGTTAACGGTTCAAACTTTTCAGTTGACAGCAGATCACGATTCGCAAGGAAACGCTTGAATCAAGATTCGGAATTTCAGTTTTTCGAATCATTTGCTTTTTTGATGTTTGGAAAGTTCAAAACTTCATTATCAGCAAGTCCTATGGTTTTTTAATCAGGACCGTGCCGTAGAATACATGACCTGAAGTTGAAAGAAAGGTGGGAAATCAGACTCCCTGAGAAACAGACAGAGAAAATAAAGTTGTGACAATCTTTTAAATAAAGGTAAACCATTTTCTTGTAACCAAATTAGAGATCCTATAGCATATTGCACCCATGTATTATCTTGCAATCAAATTAGGGATCCTCAAAACTTAACAGATTCAAATGGGACAACCCTTTCCCATTTTGATAAATTACATATTTACTGAATATTTTCTTTTCTGGGTCTGATATTAACCCAATGATCAAATAGTGAAAAACAACTAGGAAACTGAACCATACAGAATGTATTACACAATGGCAGAAACCCCGAAACTCCAGAAAACCCGGATAACCTATGCGGGTCTATGATCTATGAAACACAATGGCAGGAAACAGAAACAAGAGAAAACAAAACAAAACAAAATCTCCAAATTAGCATCCTTGCACAACATCAAATTACACAACATAACAACAGTCATTCACACATAATTAATTACAACATCAGCATAACAAAACAGTCATTCACACATAATTAATCACAACATCAGCAAATTAAGCATTAAAATCAAAATGTTTCAAATTTGATTAACCTCTTATTCTGTGACCCCGGTCGACGTCAAACACATCTGCAAGTTTGAGAGAGAAAGAGAGACAGAGACAGAGACAAAGAGACAGAGTGACAGAGCCTGAGACAGTTTGGGTTAGGCCTTAAGTTCGAGATCTAGAGACAGAAACGATGGAGACTGAGAGTTTGAGAGACAGGCTGAGATAAGCAGAGGAAAAGAGAGATTTGGGGCTGAGGAAATGAAAATTAGGGATTACGGCTGAGACTGAGAGTTACTGATAGAGAAGCGATGGCGATCTGAGAGAGGAGAGACACGGTGCCGCAGAGCTATTAACCCAATTAATACCTGCCACGTATTTATTATTATTAAAAACTAAACAGGTAAGGGTTGAGTTGAGTTCGACCCGTTTATGAAACGAGTTATATTTGTCTCTTGGAGAGTTGACCCGAATTTGACCCAGAGCCAGAATTTTCAAGTAAAAAACTGAAATGGCGATGGAGTTTCTGAAGCTTGGCTTCTTCCTCGACGTTCCTCAGTACATCCTCATCGCCATTGATACTCAGGTAAACTACTACCAACCCAGCCACCCACACATGCTTATGCTCTGTTTTGTTGCCCAGAAAATTCAAGATAAAATAAAAACAGTAGCAATTTGGTTTTCTCTTGGTTCTCCGTATCTTCAGATGATTTCTGTCTATAGGCCCTGCCCTCTAAGGGCATAAAGATGATCCCTCTTGGTCCTCATTTTGTGTAATATAGCTCATCCACCAGGTTACCTTTTCTTGCTCAATATGTGTTTGTTGCATGTTGGCAGAGAAGAATAGACTGACTAGTTGCTCTTCGTTGATTATTGAATTATGAGTGTTTTGTGGTTGATTGTATTTTGTAGTTTCTATAAATTACCAAACTTTATGATATGTAGTATGCTTTAGATTTTTTTTAAAAATTTTTATAAATATGTTTGGATATTTTGAGTGCAGAGATGACAAGGAGTTCTCACCAGTTATAGGGTTTTTTTGGTTGATGCTGGGCCATCTGAGGTTAATTACCAATCTTTTATTGTTAGTTTGCCTTTTGGGTTAACATTTTACTGTAAGTTGCTTGTGCCATGATATCAATGCAGGTCAGCACTTCTGACCTTTCTCATCTAACAGGTAATTGTTCGTAAGCGCGATCCACAAGTTCATTGTATCATATTTTCCATATTATGGAATCAAAGTGAGTTACAACAATGAATGAATTTTGATCTCCAATAAGCTTAATAAAAGAAGTTGAGGCAATCTCTGAAGTGGTCAGCAAAGTGCTGATGTACTACTTTCTGAACTACTAAGTAGTTAGAAAATATGGTCAATATATTTTCATGAAAATCACTATTTATCTTGTATTTACTTTTATGTAACCATTAATTATTGTCCATTTTTATTGTATTAATGAAGCTCTTACATTATAAAGGGAGCAAGGGGGAATCTCAGCATTTTTATGCTGCAACAGAGCACAATAGTGATTTTCTCTGTTCTGTTTAATATTTTTATTTTATGTCTCTATCATTTTTGTCCCATCTCTCTCTCTCTCTCTCTCTCTCTCTCTCTCTCTCAATTTTAAAATTTAATCTTGATGATTGCTTTGTAGGTACTGTGGGCACCTGTGGCGTGGGAACATTGCTATACAATTATATAATGGACATTAAAAGAATGTTTTGCTTAAGGAAAGTTCTCAAATGCAAATTTGGTGGGAACTTTAATTTTCCACAAAGTACTTGTTATGACTTCATGTGCTCTAAACTTAGAATTTGGTGCATCTGCTCCTTGCATGGAGTTCATATGATATCTAAGTGCACTGGTTGTGAGCTTGGAGAATGTTGAAATAACCAAAATTGAAATCTAAAGGTATGGTGAAGTAATGAAGGAGTTTCCATAAAACACTGGTATCCTTGCACATTTTGATATTTCATGGATACTTTTATCTATGTTGCTAAAGACTGCTTCAGATGAATTCTATCCAACCGATTCGTCTAAACGTCACTTCTCAAACAACCTTTGAATTTTAAATGACGGATGTACTGTACAGAACCCATTGGAGGAGAAATTACTGTTGCATCTGAATGTACAACGCGTATAAACACTCCCAGCACAATGATGGAGAAAGCTCTAGATAGATGAGCAATTGAATGCTAGTAGGTTCTCAACACCCAGTGACAAGTCTCAGACGAGAGGGTGTTATTACACATCAATTCCAAGTATTATCAAACAAAAAGGAATCCATGCCCAACAACCAACTTCCTTGAATCTTGACAAGGTAAAAAGCCCCTCCATCCTCTTTCAAGTAGTATGGTTGATTATTTTTTTAATGTTTAAAATTAGCTGATTTGGCTATATACTTACACTAATTTTTTTTTTTCTTTTGTGGTCATATTTTCAATGATCTGTTTAGACACAATTGTTGGAACTACTAGAATATTATGGAGGTTCTGAGGACTTGCTTCTTGCGGAGCTACAATTGGCCTATATTGCATTTTTGGTGTGTAAACAATGCAGCTTTTACAGCATTCTATGTTAAAATAGTGCTCTGAGATCTTTATGATATTTTGAACTCATGAAGATGGGGCAATCACTTGAAGCATTTCTACAGTGGAAATCCTTGGTCAGTCTTTTATTTGGATGCACTGAATCTGTAAGTATTGGTTTAACTGCCTTGTTTCAGTTATTATTGGGATTTATTCTCTACGGAATTTGTATATTTGTATTCCGTTCTCCCACATTGTGCATCTGAATTCAAAATTAATCTACCTACTTATACATTCTGTCCCTATATTACTATGGTATAAAGTATACACATGTGATTGATAAGTTTACATTACATTTGTACCTCATGAGCGTGAAGTTATGGTGGTTGTCTACTTTAGTAAAATAAGCAACCCTTTTCCCAAATCAGTATATACAGTAATCTTAATATGTTTATTTCTCAAATACAGATTTTATTTAATACTTTTGACCTTTGTTGACAACCATAGCATTTGCATGTTTATGTGATACAGTTTTTTTTAACAGATAAAAAGGTAATCTAAAATTTCTAAATCTTCAAAATATCATAGTCAACAATCGATGTAGTTAATTTGTGCTAAAATTTCAGCGTTAATGACAGAATTGTCAAACATTATAGTCACCAACCTAAAAGCTTTGGCACTATTGATATAGTGCTAGATTTTCAGTTTTACACAAGAGATCCTACCCCAAGTCTCTCACCATCTATCTTTGGGTTGAATACTGTTTTACTGGTACTAGCATTAACATTTTTTAGGAATGCTAAATTTTAAATTTATACCAGACTATAGACATATCCTTCTTACGAAGTTTCTAGTTACTAAAATATATGCTGGATTAAAGGGAGGTGTGTGTTCAGGTGGAGACAGTTGCGAGTAGCTAGTAGGGATCCTAAAGAAGCTTTTAGCCCAGTAGGGGTCCTAAAGAAGTTTTTATTATAATGTTGACATACTAGTGTTGTTTTGAGAAAACAATTTATTGAGTCCCTCACTGCATATCCTTGAGTTGAGTCTTTTGATACTAGAATTCAGCTTTTTCCTAATGATGATTGAATCTTAGGTAATTAATACTGAACTACAGGAAATTTGAAATACTTTCTGACCAAAGTCTAATATACTATTATTGCAGCCTTTCCATGCAAGAAGTCGACTATTTGCGACGGTAATGTCCAGAATTGTCCTTTTTATAACTAAACTTTCTAGCAGTATAACTAAGAAGTTGCAATCATGGTGATTTGGGATACATTTATGAAATGAAAGTCTAGAGTCTGTTATTGCGTTTTCTTTCCAGAGAGAGTAACACATTCAGCAATTCTTGATTTAAACTATTTGTTTTTTCTTGTAAACTAGAACTGAACAGTACTTTCCTTTTTCTCCATTTCATTTGCACTGATAAACGACATGTGACGAGAATCTCGCAGTTTATTAGAGTCATCTACTATCAATTGAAACATGGACTTCATAAAGATTGCAGAGACACGAGCGGTGAATCATCCCTATTAGATGATTCATGGTTTTCTGCTGATAGCTTTTTGCTCCGTCTTTTCAAGGTACGAGATTTGAGTGCTTGATTCTGCTGCCGCTGTGCATTTTTCGTATTACACTGCCGTACTTGATTCAGTTTTTTCTTGTTGGCTTGTTGTCATTCAGGTTATTGTTGTTTAGTTTTTATTTGTTGGAACTAAAATGTAGTTGATAGTTATTTATATAATTTCATCCATAGATTTAATGATTTCATTAGTATGTTAGAGTTTGATTGATTAAGTTGGTACATATATAGGTGAAAATGAAAATGTCCTAAATCCCTTAACTGTTGAATGAGCTTAAGAAGTTGGCACATCTTCATTTACTGATTTACTGCAACTTGTGAACTACTAATCTTATATAAATAAACCTAATGGATAAAATGCAATGAATTACATAAAAGGAATCCAAAGAAATATGTAAAAAAAAGTGTCATTAGCTCTGTATTAATAATGAATGAAATCAAAGAATGTACATCAAATACATACAAATTTAGGATAATGAAGTATTACACCAAATTGTGAGAGACGCTTCCAAACAAGCATATACAAAATTCTAACTTAAGAATCAAGCTAAGCAGCACCAATTATAGGGAAAGCCGATGGCTTTTGGCAAACAACGGTTTGTTTTGGAATGACAGGTCTTGAATCCCAAAGGAAGAATCTGTTGCTCAGAAGGCGACGACGACACCGAATAGAGTTCCTTTACTGTATCCAGATTAGTCACAAATGGATGATTCAATAGCTTAGCAGCTGTGAACCTTTCAGAAGGGCTCCACACAAAGCACTTTCCCAAGAAATCTTTAGCCTCATCTGATAACCAAACAGGAATGGTGGGAGATTTGGAAGCAATCTGAAGCATTAGGTCCCAAGGTCTCGCCCCGGCTTTCAAATCCCATGGCTTCCTCCCAGTCAACATCATAAGCACAACACAGCCCAATGCCCAAATATCAGAAGGTTGCAGCTGAATATTTTGAAGCACAGTTTCTGGAGACCAATACAGTGTAGTGCCTCCAGAACGCTTCTCTATAATCCTCTTTGCCAGACCCAAGTCTCCAATTTTGGGCACAAATTCAGAACCACCAGCATCAGTTTTGGAGACGAGTAATATATTCTCAGGCTTCAAATCGCAATGCACATAACCCATTTCATGAATGTGCTTAACCCCTTTCAAAATTACCTCTGTATACTTCCTTACTTGAAATTCAGGCAACCCCCCAGACTTGTTAATCAAATCCCTCATTGTTCCTCCATCGGCATATTCCATGAACATATTGAATACCTTATTGCCGTCAACACCAGCCGTCACATCATCTCCATAGCGATGGATAATAAACGGGCAGTTGCTAAATATGTCAAGAAGTGAATTTTCCCTCACCAACTCAAGCGCATCACAGTATAATGTCGACTTCACCGCGAAAATTGAGGGCAAAACATCGGCTCTCAAATTGGGTTTTTTGACCCAACCCAAATGCACCGACCCGAACCCCCCTTTTCCAAGTATCCGGCCTCGAACCCACTCACGGCCAGCAACCGACAAGCTCTGTTCTTTCTTCGGCCTTGAACTCGAACCCATTGTTTGAAAAACAAAAATTGAAGCTTTCTGATGAAATAGGGTTTATGGGTCTAACAAAACGAAAGCAAAGAGACGCAGAGAAACAGAAACTGGGTAGAGAGAGAGAGAGAGAGAGAGAGAGAAGAACTCGTTGAAGCAGTCGGTGATCAACGAAGAAGGATGAAACGTTGATGCGAAAAAGAGGGCTTGGATTTCCAACGCTCAATTGTTTTTGATTCGAAGCTGGTGAATGAGGGTTTGGAAATCAGAGTAATGTTTTCCTGGTTGGGTTGGGTTTATATAGGTTAACGCGTAACCTTCAAACGGTCATATATTTCTTTCGCGGCTTTTGCTTCCCCTTCAATTAATAATCTAATCAAATATTTATTATTTACTTTTGAAATCCACTGAAAAGATTTACTGAGGATTTGATATATCTTTCGTAAATCTTAAGCCACTCTTTCTGATTACAAGCTGTCATCACCGTTGATTTGGGGAGATCTGACGATGAAGGGAAGACACGGTTGACTTAAATTCAACTCTCCTGTTACCATTTATTGTGCCCAATAAAAACAAAAACTAATAATTAAAGAAAAAGAAAAATACCCAACAATCACCAAACTCACACCCATCCAATTCCGTCATTTAATTAGGGGGGTTTTTTTTTTAATTTTTTATCATCACCCTCTATTATTTTTTCACTCGATTTAATTCTTAGATTATTTCAAATGGGTCAATTTAGTCTATGTTGTTAGTTTCTATGCAATTTCAACAAACGTGAAACTTCACCGGAATATTCAGCAAAAAAAAAACCCTTTAATTAAAGGTTAACAATTTAAGATTAATTGAAAGGACATGTGTCAAAAAGTTAAATAGGATATAAAGCGAGCACATGAAAAATGGTAACAGGAGAGTTAAACTCAACCAGGTCGGAGATTTATGGCCTTAATTTTGCCTTAGAATTAAGCAGTCATTTTACATATTTTCAAATTTTTATGATCTGACTTGATTATTAATTAAATTAAAATATATTCCAACACAAAAAATGACATGAAACTTTTGAATTTTAAGTGAAAGAATTGAAAATAGTTCACATGACCTTCACAGAAAATAAAGGAAATATATATATTTTTTAGATCCATGGAGGAGTGGGGAATTGCATTTGGAATCTCTTCCAAACAAAAGATGTTAGAGGAAGATAAATTCAACATGAGAGGGGAGATCAAAGAAAGAACTTTTAATGAAGCACACAATGCAAAATTTGTAAAATAACATTTATAGTCCTTCTAGTTTTGTAAATATTTCAATTAAGGACTTATAGTTTCAATTTAAGCAAGTGAAGACCTATAGTTTACTTAAGATCTCAATTAAGAACAATTAAATCGACAAAATGGAAATATTCACATTTTTTATCAAGTGGAAAACACGGGAGAGGCAAAAATGATCTTTTAGAGTGTTGGTGAACCTAACTACTCTCGTATTATCATAAACGATGATTTATTAGGATCTAGAGCATTGTTAGAAAAGGTAGATTTTTCATCTCCACGTGATAAACACATCAAACTTCGATTTTATTTTTAACGCATTATATTTAATTGAATTTTTTTTTTTAGTACAAACGATCTGAGGATGAGGTTTACACAAATATTCGTTCGGTGTCTAGGGATTTCCACCCACATGACATGACTGAAGGTCGAAGAGTTTAACCAAGATATACCCCACTATAAATACATATTTTCTTTACTTGTTTATGGCCATTTTCAGGCCATCCTATTTCATCGAGATACAATTTAAATCGCAATGTAATTTTCTTGTTCCTAAATGGATTTCTTCAAATTTTTTAGGCTTATGCTCTACTTCGAGAAAAGATCCGTCGATTTGGATTAATGAATTACAAATAAAAAATCTAATTTTTTGTTTAGAATTTAGTAGGAATGCTCCCGGAAATAAATGAATGAAAGAGGCCATCATTTTGCTCTGTGGTTGAGATACTGGATGACCCAAGTTCTAGTGTGACGCCATCATTTTAACACTTATTTCTCTCATTCCCTACCATTCAACAACTACAGTTTACTCCTATGGTATAGATGTTGGACGACCCGAGGATGTAAGTTTTCCTTGCTAATTTTAGATAGATGGGACAATTCCCTAGAAATGCTTGGTGAAAGGTCTAATTATTCATATCAGTTTTTGGAGTTCTGAGACTGCATGAGATAACTTTATTTGAGGCATAAAAGATTCAGTTTCTGAATTTAATAATCTTATATAAACCTAATGGATCTCAAATGCAATGAATTACAAAAGAGGAACCAAAAGAAATATGTAAAAGAAAGTGGCATTAGCTCTGTATTAATAATGAATGAAATCAAAGAATGTACATGAAATTACACAAAATTACAAATTTAGGATAATGAAGTATTACACCAATTTGTGAGAGATACTTTCAAAAAAGCAAATACAAACTTAAGGATCAAGCTAGGCAGCAGGACCAATTATAGGGAAAGCGGGTGGCTTTTGGCAAACAGTGGTTTGATTTGGAATGATAGGTCATGGAACCCGAAGGAAGAATCTGCTGCTTAGAAGACGATGACGACACCGAGGAGAGTTCCTTTACTGGATCCAGATTAGTCACAAATGGATGATTCAATAGCTTAGCAGCTGTGAACCTCTCAGAAGGGCTCCACACAAAGCACTTTCCCAAGAAATCTTTAGCCTCATCTGATAACCAAACAGGAATGGTGGGAGATTTGGAAGCAATCTGAAGCATTAGGTCCCAAGGTCTCGCCCCAGCTTTCAAATCCCATGGCTGCTTCCCAGTCAACATGTTGAGCACCACACACCCTAGAGCCCAAATATCAGAAGGTTGCTGCTGAATATCTTGAATGACAGTTTCTGGAGACCAATACATTGTAGTGCCTCCAGCACGCTCCTCTATAACCCTCTTTGTCAGACCCAAGTCCCCAATTTTAGGCACAAATTCAGAACCGCCAGAATCAGTTTTGGTGACAAGTAAAATATTCTCAGGCTTCAAATCGCAATGCACATAACCCATTTCATGAATGTGCTTAACCCCTTTCAAAATCGCCTCGGTATACTTCCTTACTTGAAATTCAGGCAACCCATAACGCCCAGAATTGTTAATCAAATCCCTCATTGTTCCTCCATCAGCATACTCCATGAACATATTGAATACCTTATTACCATCAACACCAGCAGTCACATCATCTCCATAGCGGTGAATGATAAATGGGCAGCTACTAAACGTGCCAAGAATTGAATTTTCTGTAACTAGCTCAAGCGCATCACAGTATAATGTCGATTTCACTGCGAAAATTGGGGGTAAGGCATCTGCGCACATATTGGATTTTTTGACCCATCCCAAATACACCGTCCCAAATCCCCCTTTTCCGAGCATCCGTCCTCGAACCCACTTGCGCCCAGCAACCGACAAGCTCTGTTCTTTCTTTGGCCTTGAACTCTGACCCATTGTTTGAAAAACAAAAATTCAAGCTTTCTGATGAAATAGGGTTTCTGGGTCTAACAAAACGAAAGCAAAGAGACGCAGAAAAACAGAAACTGGGTAGCAAGAGAGAGAGAAGAACACGTTGAAGAGATGATCAATCGGAGAAGACGATGAAAATATTGATGTGAAAAAGAGGGTTTCGATTTCAAACCCCAAGTGTTTTCCTCTGCTTGCGTACTGCGTATGGTTGACGCTGTGATTTGAATGAGGGTTTGGAAATCAGAGTTTCCTTTTGCTAGTTGGATTGGGTTTATATAGATGCAGTTCAACGCGTAATCTTCAAACGGTCGTATTTTTCTTTCGCGGCTTTTCCTTTCGCTTGAATTAATAATCCAGTAAAAACAAGATTTACGAAGATTTTGAAATACACTTCGTAAATCTTAAGCGACTCTTATTATTACAAGCTGAGAACATATCATGACCGTTGATTTCGGGAGATCTCGTGATAAAGTGGAAATACCAAAAAATTTAAGTTGAACTATTAAAAATTAGTTTGTTTTTGATGGAATATTAAAAAATAGTTTTATTTATTATTATTTTTTTTAATGCAGACATCAAAATTTTACCTTAGAGTTAATTAATCATTTTTATGTATTTTTCATGTTAGGACTCAATTTGATATTTTAAAGGTGATAACTTTTCGACTCTAATTTTATCCACTTATACTTCATTTTAAGGGTGGGATTAATCATTAGGGTTCTGCTTGCTCCTGATCACAAAGTGCTTCCAACAAGTTTCGAACCCTTGCCATTGAAGCATCAAGTAGCTCCCCAACTGAAGGTGATAGTTTGCCAACCTCACCACATCTTGTGGTTAAAAAAAAATAAAAAATTGAAATACCAAAAAATTTGAAGTTTAGAAAGAATATATATATATATATATATATCTGTGTAATTTTTCCAATAAAATGATTTAACTTTTCTTACCTAAAAAAAATGGAAAAAGGAAGAAGTAGCTTTATGTTACCTCAGAAAAAAAAAAAAAATTTCGAAAGCAGACAAAGCTCCATTTCCCTTCTCCCCTCCGTCGTCCCAAAATATCTGAATCTCTCTTTGCCTTCAATGTGTTTGTTGACCGGAAAACCCCCAACAAGCTGAGAAGATAATGGCTTGGAGGCTCTGTTGCCGCCGTTCCCTCCTTTCTTCTATTTGCCAAGTCCCAAACCTCCGACTGCAGCTTTCACTTCCTCCAAGGTCACAGTCCTTCAATCTTTTTTTTTTAATAAACTGTTGGTGCCAAAAACTCGCCTATCAGGTTCTGAAAAACCCATTTGTCTTTTTTCTCTTTCAGATTCGAAGCTCTGTATGATTCTGCTCTGAGCACTTCAACAAGTCAAATTAGCTGTGGGTTTTGCCCAAAATTTCAAGGTTTGCTTCCGTTTCTTGAATTTCATAGCTAATGATGTGTATTTGTGCATGTCTCTATGATTTGTATATGTTTATAATCAAGTTATCACATTTTTGTTCCCTCGTAGACGTTGTGGTTAGCGTGATGTTAGAATTGTGATATGTAGTCTACGTATTTGATAAAAGTTCTCATATAAGACGTCAATTCTTTGCTTGAAACTGTGCCATTACCATTTCAACTTCTTAGAATGAAGTTATTTGTCAAAGAAAAAAAGGGTTACTGGATTTATGTTTGATAGAGGCTTCCTTGTCTTTGTACTTTGGACTGGTGTCATTAACATGTCTGTCATTATGGACAACCCTTAGCCCGAGGATTCATTCCATGGTCAAAATTACAACGCAACAAGATTACTATCCAATTCATTTAAAGAGAATGGGTTCTTGAATTCATTTAAAGAGAATGGGTTCTTGAACTTTGGATTTTGTGGCTTGGTTGATTTAAATTTTAAACTATTACTGGTACATTGAAGCCAACTTTGTGCTGTCTCTGTAAAATTAGATGCATGACGATGCATTATCTATATATTTTATTCCTATTGTATTAATAGGTTTTCTTGCTAGTTCATTCTTGCAGACAAAATATAGCTTTGCTTTCACAAAATAATAAAAGATAAAGATAAAGCTTTGCAACACGTACGTTTTCCCTCTGAGTTCTATGCGTATGCTACCTGTATGACTTTATTGAATATGTTGCAGCTTCACGGTCATATGCCCGTGGTGGGCATAAACCTTATGATCTCTTTGGAAATGGACAACCTGGTGATAAGGACTTTAGGAAAGCCTGGAAGAAAGAGATTGATGAAGATGCTTCTTTATGGACAGGAAGTGAAGAAGAAAGTGACAATGAAAAGGATGAAAAGAGTCATCTGGAAAAAGAGATTCGAAAAGTAAGACAGCAGGCAAGGGAGCACTCTAACCTGATTGATGCTGATGACAGTGATGAGCTGAGAAGTGTTTGGTCTGGAAGTGATGAGGAGAAGTCTCTGTGGACTGGTAGTGAAGGTGATGATGACGACGATATTCCTACTGAACCCTACCCAAATGAAAGCAGTGATAAACATATAGATAAACTATTTGAGTTTGAGGAAACATCAAAGTATCGGACAATCTCAGAATTATTGAAAGCTGAGCAGGAACCGGAAGAATTGTCCCCCGGAAAGCAAGCTAGGAAAATAGCAGTTGAGAATGCCTTGAAAAAGTTGAAGAAAGGGCCAGATGGTCGATACATTAACGTATGGGAGGTCATGAGTGACTTAGATATTCTAATAGGAGCATTTGAAAATATAGTTTCAGGACCAGAATATGCAGAGCTTAGACAGGGAGGGCCTAAGAAATTAAATATTCAGTTTTTCAAGGATATACAAGCCCGTATGAGAGATCCAAATTATAAGTTCTCACCTGAGTTAAAGTTGAAACCAAAGAGCAAACTAGTTCGTAGAAAGAAATGGCAGAAGACACAATCTAGGCGGAGGAAAGCACAAAAGCGCTAGGTTTCTCTTTCCTCTTTATTGTTTCAATCTGTCAAACTTAGAAAGTGTAACATGTGTATCGTTCAAACTTTGGAAATTTTGATATATGTTTCTGAATTCTATATACGATTTCTTTGTTGGCCCATCTATCATCCAGTTATACTAGTGGTCAGGTTCCACACATGTTTGTTGTGTCAATTATGTTATTTTGCTTTGGAAGATGCTAGGGTGACTTCAAAAAAATTACCCAAAACATAGGCTCATCAGGAAACCAACCATTTCTCCAAAATTTAGAAAATCCACTCATTTTGGGCTTGAAAAGACCAAGACACCCTTATTTAATACAGCACTCGAGCCTTTTTCATCTTTCTCTGCTCAAGAATGTCATATTCACATTGGCTTCTGAATATGTTCTAAAGCAACCCTTTTACTGGCAAACTGTACGCCAATTGTGGTCTCGCATTTCATGTCATGATCCTGCAGATGCCTATCCAGGCGAGAGCCAGCTGTGGGCAATCTGTAAGCCTAACATTGTGCAGTCCCCTCTAGGGTACAATGCTTATTGTTGATCAGAGGTCAAGGAAACACCATGTTTACTGACCTGTATGCATGATTTTCTTAATCAGTGTATCATCACCATGATCATCTTTACCACACACAATTATCTTGTAGTGTGCCCCTTTCAATATTTTGGTATAATGAAGTACCCTCAGCCAAGAAGCTTCGTATAATGGTAGATATCCATAAGTACGTTTCGATTTTTCTGTATAGCTTAGCTTGTCTTTCTTCACAATCACAGCTAGCCTCTTTGATTAACAACTGTGCTGCTTTTGATTTTTCAGGTATTTCCTTGAACATCCTGAGTATCTAACAGATGGGGTAATTCTGTCACAATTTTTCATTTCAAATCCTGATTATGTCCACAAGTTTCCTGCTTTGACAGCATATTGATGCCATTAGATCTCTTGAACCTAGTGAAGGTACACTGATGCAGGAAAATCATATACAATGTATACTGTTTTCAATATTTAATTGCTTCTTTCGGAATTGTGGCTTCTGGTTTCCATCAGATCATGTTCCCTGTAAGTCTAAAACCATGTATGTAGTTTTGTCCTAGAAAAAGTTGTTTGCAACAGGCGGGAAAAAGTATGTCTTTTGCAAAACCATTTGTTTCTGCTTTCAATTATGTAAGTAATATGGTCTAAGTCACCTCCATAGAAAAGTTAGTATGCTGAAGTGTTTGGAAATTTCCACTTATTACATGATGCTGCAACTAGTGATGTCCTATATGAGTTTGATGAGGTACTGTATATATTGTGATTCCTTTATGTATTGACCTTGAGGGAAGCAGTGAATACTGTTCTTGTGCAGCTATTACTTTTTTACTCATTTGCCGTTTACATCTTGGACACATTATATTAAGATAAGTTTAGACATAAAATACTGGTTATACCTCCTGTTACTTTAGCCATGGTATTTCTCGCCTGCTTGCAGAAAACAAATTAACGCAAAGCTAAGGGTCTTGTCTTTATTCTGCAGAAATTAGCATGGCTTGGTCCAGATGGCTCTGAAGACTTGCAACTTGATAAAGCAGCGCTCCTTCCTCCTCCGTACTTGGAGGCAACTATGCTTGACCCTGTTGTTCGGCCTACAAACAACCCAGCAACAACAAGAATTCCATTAAAGATTTGCAGTTGTAATCCAAGGATCAGCACAAAGTCAAGGTAGAAGGGCCCGGTCAATGTTGGAACAGTAGTCGTTACTTGTAGGGCTCTTCTGTTCGTTTCCCTTTTTTTCTTTCCTTTTCTTTGTTGTTTAGTCAAGTGCAACTGTTATGGGGTCCTTCTGCAAGCTGCAACTCAAAGGCACAGACAAAGATTAGTCACACTCAAAAGGAAAAATGACAATGAAGAAGCTTTGCTTGCCTCTTTACCTTTTTTTTTTTTTTTTTTTTCCTTCCTTCCAATTCAAGTGTTTCAAATCCTTCAGTCTTTTACTCCTTTCCCCATTTCCTGGGTTGGGGTTCTGTTGTCTTGCTAATCCAACAAGATAGTCTCCATGGAAATGTCATGCCAAATGCGTAAATGTAGTCATATTCTTATAACTAGCGGATACGTAAGATTCAGTCAAATTTCAACTCTCTTTTTAAGTAATGAATGCAATTTGTTTTTACGGTAATATTTACTTGCAGTGATAATATGTGTGGGAGAAACATGCCTTGCTTGATCTGCTCCGCCTTTTCTGACATACAACATATTACCTGCAGTAATAATGTGTGGGAGAAATTTGTCTTGCTCGCTCTGCTCCGCCCTTTCTGACATATCAAGGCAACAGTAAATCATAAATTCACATACGTGTAAATGCCAATTGAATTTTTAGGTATGTACAGGATAACTTACATCCAATTTTAATTTTTACTATTAATCACTTGAACTTTGAACATTATTATAATTTACTATTTACGTAAGGTATTTTTCATTTCTCCTTTAAAATTTATCACGTGCTCCTCACGTGGATGGATGTTTTAGTGTATCTCCATGTTGGGCCTCATTGATGAAGGGAATGTTGACTTATTGGCCCAATAAATAATAAATTTTTTTAGTATCTATATATATAAAGCAAAAGGTAAAGAATTGTGAAACATTCAAAATACCAGAAATGTCCTCTATTAATTCAAACATTAAGGATTAAAATTATTAATTAAATGAGGATAATATGGTAAATTCACTAATTTTTATATTTAAAAAATTTAAATTAAAAGAAAATTAATTAATCTTATTTTTATGGAACACAACTACCCATTATCTTTTTTAATTCTAAAATAAATTTTAATTTTTTTATTAAAAAAAGCCTCTCGCAAGCGCGAAAGCGCGTGCGGAGAGGCTAGTACATAATTGTAAAAAAATATTTAAATGAAGTTGTAAAAAAAATTACAAATAAAATTGCAATACATAAGTCAAATTTGGCATGGGCACATATCGGCCCGTTTAGTGACCCGACACGAGGACGACCTGATCTTATTTGGACTAGGGCCATAAGCTCGGGCAGAAATTGATGATTTTCATAAAGGATCCAGATCCTCTACTATGATTATCTCTGCCATGATCTGCTTTACTTTTGTTGTTCACATGTCACCTCATTAAAATTTAATCTAAGGGATTTAAGCTGGACACATTATCCACAAAATAAAAACTCTATTTTGTACTTAATTGAAAATGCAAAAAAATAAATAAAAATCACCTTAACTTGACTAATTCAAAATACTCGAACTTAACGTCTTCCCTAATTTTCTAACCTTTTTTTTTTCTTCTTCTTTTCCCTTCTCTGCACGTTCTCCCCAAAATTTGAGCGTCCATCTGTTCTTTCCCCAATTCTTGTTCTCTCTTTAATTTTCCTTCTACAATTTACGAGACTGTCTTATTTTTGTATTAAAACTCTTTTTACATTTTTAAGGAAAATGCTAGGGAGACCAACTTTAGATATCAACTTGTGTACCATCTCTCTAATAGAGCGTGAGACCCATTGTATTGGTGGGCTTCACCTCTATTAGAGAGATGGTACACAAGTTGGTATGTAAAATTGGTCTCCCTAGCATTACCCTTTTTGTTTAGTGTTAAATATTAAGAAATGATTGAGATAAGTTATTAACCATGGAAATAGGTCGAGATAAGATATGAATCATATGATCAAACTTCGGGCAAATAAGATCAGGGCTTCATGCACCCAACAACTTCAAGCAATCCAAGAAAAATGAAAATAATTATGGCACTACTGGTTTATTAAATGGACTGACTCTAAACATGTCAAGCTGGGTTGGACCGGGCCTCTACCCTTAATTAAGCACACAAGTTGAGGAACTTTTGGCCCCTAATTAATTTTACACAATACGCCTACATTTTATTTATTTTTCATAAATTAAAAAAAGAGCTAAATGTCAAAATGAGTTACTCATTTGGCTAATTTAGTCTTCTATTTTCTCCTGTTAGCCTAATAAAATACATGAACTAAATTGACCAATTTGAAAATACATAGACTAAATTAGTAAAATGCATAAAATACATGAACAATTTTGACATTTAACACATATTTTTTTAAATAGTAATGAACTAAATTGGCTAACTTGAAGAAACTAGGGGTGGGCACGGTACGGTACGGTACGGTATTGAGC